CTACAACCTCTTCTCTTCCTCGTTTTTGCATTTTCATCATGGTTTTTGGGTAGTTCTTTGGGAATCCAAAAATGAGTTATGAGTTTGCCTAAAATTTTGACTTTAATGGGATTAACGAGAGTTTATTTAAGTGTCTAACTTTTAGGTTATAGTGCTAATGAATTTTTAGGATTTGAAAGTGAGGTTTGAAGTAAACCCTAGAACTAATTAGTTGAGTTAAGAAAGTTATGAGTTATTAAGTGTTGATTAGACTAATGGGAGTATAAGTGAACCAATGGAACCTAAAAATGGATTTGAATGTGGGTAGATGATCATAATAGGATTTTTAGGTTTAGGCCTTGATTAGAGTTAATTAAAGATAATTAGTCATTAATGACTATTGATATGTTTGATTATAGATTGACCATTGTTGGTGCTATTGAGCATCTTAGAGGTTCCATTAGATATTCATAGGTACTCTTGGTTGGAAAACCAAGAGTTGAGATAACTAGGAATTTAAGTATAGTATATCATTACATTTACATTTACATTTTAAGCATTATTATGGATGGCTTGAAATGAGCTTATGGATGAATATGTTGATTTTAAACTATTACCTAAATATGAAACATGACTCATGGTGATGAAGTGTTTGGTGATTATATTTATATAGAAGTTATTTAGTATTTGAAATATAGATTGGGCTTTAATTGAATGTGAGTTGATTATATAATGAGCCATTGTAAACTATAGTGTGGTGTAAACTGCGATAAGCATGCAAGTTCTAAAAATTATGATGATGATGAATCGCTATGATATGCATGAGTTTAGATTTGCATATGTTGATTGAATTTGCATGATCATAATGGGTGGGAGATCACCTTAGCATAGTAGAGGGATTATGATAGAAAATCCACATAGTATAGCCTCCACTAAGTTTGCACATAGTGGTTGGCATACTTCATTACTATATGTACTTAGTATTGCTGACAACCTACGAGTGTGGCATAGGTTGAACACAATGCTTAGTATCATCAATCCTGGATTGGATGGTGTGGATCGAGCACTTATGACACCTCGAAATTCGAGTAGGAGGAATCCATAGTCCAAGAGTGAGTGTGGGAACCTTTGGCTGGGTGATCCTTCACAATTGGAGAGTAGGGCTAGTCAAGTCATATAGGCTAGACCTATATGAGATAATAGCTCATGGATTTAGTCAGATGATATAAGGAGTGGTATAAGGCAGTTGCATTTGATCATGCGAAACACATTATAAAGATGTATTGTGAATGATGTTGGTTTGGCTTATGTGATGTTAAATTCCTAATTATTGTGATTGCCACACTTTAATATGCTTGGTTAAATCACTTGGTTACTAAGATGTTTATCTCACTCCTATAATTTAATGTTTACAAGCAAGGATTAAGCTAAGGGTAAAAGGGAGGCTTATGAAGCTAGAGACTGAGTAATTAATTTTAATGTCTCTAGTTTTATATTTTATGTATAATTTGAATACAATATTTGCCAACGAGGGTCTTTCATATTGAATTATGCTTGTTTGAATTTTACTTGCATTTATAATCTTAAACATTAAATTTAGTCATTTTTGGATTTTCTTAGCCATGGAAGGGTCCAAACCCCTAATCTGACCATGGTGGTGTGCCAAGATAGTTTAAAAAAGTATATCTTGACATGTTAGATGATTTTAGCATGTTTTGAGTGATTATTTAGCTTGAATGCAATAATTACATTTTCACCCCGTTATTATGTGCTTTATGGTGGTTGGGTAGTCAACTCTTTTATTAAAATTTGTTTGATAATAGTGACTATTCAAACAAGTGTATTAAGACTTATTGAGTGTGATTCAAGCCCTTGAGTGGGCTAATGGCTTATGATTTGAGATTTGGACACTCGGTTGATAGTTTAAAGGTAAAAATGTGAAATTGTAGTTTTAGGTGTCCAAATTCTTCTTCTAATGTCAGATTGACATGAAACGAAAACTATTAGCTAGATTATGAAATTTTTGATGTGTGAACACTTGAATCACCTCAATCAAAGGTTTGAGTCAAAAGTAATGCGCATTGAAAGTTCATAGTTGGGAAGCTGTTATGATAGTTGCTGTCATATCTTTGGCCACGGCCAATAGATTTTTGACTACAGCCAAAATTTTTCTAGAAGTGTTGGCCATGGCTTAATATTTTCTGGCCGTAACTAAGTACCCTTGTTAAGAAAAAATAACCTTTTTTTAATCTCATTTTGACTTGTTTTTAACCCTAATTATTTTTTATGCTTCCCAAACACTTTTAAATTTGATTTATAATGGTTAAATGACCTTATAAGCTCAATTTTGAAATTTAATGAATTATGGGAACCCATCTCTACAAGGTTTTCTTACTTAGCTTTTTTTTTTTCAATTTTTATATAATCAAGGTTGATCCTTTATATGACATCTCTTATTATTAAATTAGTTATAATTATCATGGTAGCTTTACCTTAAGATTAAGTATGTGCTAATTATGTTTTTAAAAATTAGAGGTTTTCTTACTTAACCTTATGAGTTTTCAAACAGCCAAGGTTAATCCTTTTATGCCATGATATCTTTTATTGTTGATTAAATTGGTTGTAATTACTATGGTAGTTCTACTTTAAGGTTAAGTATGGGCTAATTATGTGTTTAAGTAGAGGTTTTACAATTATCAAGTCAAGCTATACAATTAACAAGTATTGTTGTATAATTAACAAGTAAAATTATGCGATTAACAAGTAATGTAATTTTATTGTAAGAATCATGAACTTAACAAGGAAAGTAAAATAATTAATAAGTCATGTTAAGATATTAACAAGTATAGTTACACGATTAATAAGTAATGTAGTTCTGTTGTAGGGGTCACAAACTTAATAAGGAAAGTTAAGTAATTAACAAATCCTATTAAGGTATTAACAAGTATAGTTACGTGATTAAAAAGTAATGTAGTTCTTGTGAGAATCATGGAGTTAACAAAGAAAGTTAAGTAATTAACAAGTCCTATTAATGTATTAACAATTAAAGTTACATAATTAAAAAGTAATGTAGTTCTGTTATGGGAGTTATGGAGTTAACAAGAAAAGTTAAGTAATTAACAATTTCTATTAAAGTATTAACAAGTATAGTTATGCAATTAACAAGTAATGTAATAATCAAGTGGTTTGAAAATAAAGTTTGTTTTTTATATAATTTTATGCATTATATAATTGGATAAGTTTAATGACTTAGTGGTTCATACCCCCTTGGTGAGCCATGGGTCATAGGTTTTACACTCACCCTTGGCCACCTTTAGAGAATTTAATTCTTTATGATTTTTTAGTCACCATCGACGGTGGTCTAACTGATAGCTAGAGCTCCAGCAACAAAGGTCCAATGCCTACCGTTGCCAGATGGTGGTTCTCTGGTGACAATAATTGATGGTTTTTTTAATATTTGAGTCGAGGATATTTTCATCTTTCCTGCATTTAAGTTATTTTCAGTTCAGTCACATATGACTGAACTGAAGTTTCAAATTCTTTAGAAATCCATCAGAAATTATGTGTCTTCTCAAGTTTTTAACTAAAATTCTCCCTTTAAAATACTATATGCTCCTGCAAGAATAGTTGGTAGAAAATAAAATGTCATTTAACCTTAATGTTAAACAAACTCTAGCCAAAAAACAAAAAACAAACTGATCCTATGTCAAAGTAATGAGTGTAGCTAGTTCTCCACCTTTACAAATGAACATTAATGGTCCGTTTAGAGAGAGAAGAGGAGGAAAAAAATTTGTATTTGACGAGATGCTTAAGTGATGTGAAATAGGAAAGAGAAAAAAGGAAGAGAGAGAAGAGAAAAAGGAGGAGGAAGAGAAAACTGTACAACTCTTATTCAAATGTCAAAACTGAATATAATTGAAGAACCCTAGAGCTATTTGTAAAGCCATAGAAATAATAAAAATAATAACAAATCTAAATCTAAATCAAATCCTAATATAAAAGAATAAAATAAAGTATCTAGCTAGGCTAGATATCTTATTTTATTTGAGATAATACTTAAAGATAAAATAAATCTAAGATACTAAAAAAATAATAACAATCTCTAGATGCTAAATTAAATCGTAATAAATCCTAAATTAAATCAAACATAATTCTCATCATTAAGTCTACTCATTCAATAAATATCTCAATTACAATTACTAGATTTCATTAATATTTAAAAATTATCAAAATATATTCTTCTCTAGTAATAATCCAAAACAATTCATACGATTAAAATACTCTTCACATGGATTGTCCTATCAAAAAATTTGAGATTTAAAACTTTTTAAATATTATATAACAAAATATTAATAGTCACTCAATTTAATTGAAAAGTTGTTATCATATCACTTAAAGACATGAGACACTCTTTAAATGAGTAAACTTAAACTACTCACCATATTCAAATCATAAAAAAAAATAAATAAATAAAGCATATTTGTGGCCTTGTACATAATTATGAGATGCGTTCTTATACACAACCATATTCTCTCGCGTCACTTTCTTCTTCTTTTCCCCTTAACTTGAATACCCTCTCTCGTCTCTAGATTCAATTTATGAATAAAGAGAATCCAATGCAGCTGATGAGTGATCTTATCTATCCTGTGTGCAAGAAATGCAACAGTTTGCCTGTAGGAAGAGATTTTATAGTGTAATATCATTGTAGAAAACAATAAAGGAAAATTTCAATGAAAGAAGCCATTTATTGGAAAAAAAATCTGTGTGGGCGTATGTGTGCATATATATATATATATATGCTATATATTTGTTTAAAGAAGATAGAGTAACAGTATCGATCAATTTTATTCTTTGTTTTCTTTATCACACAATTTATTATTGATACAACACATTATTATTATTATTATTATTTGAAGGTTTCAATATTAATGGAGGGACAGATTATTATTAGTTTTGTAAGTGTAAAGAATAGGTTCATTTGAGAAGAGAGAATATTTCCACAGGTAAAAAAACAAAATGGATGCTGAAGAGTCACGGTGTAGGCAAATGCTTGTCTTTGTCTGTACATGTTTACTTACATGCAAGGATCAAAATAATTCCAAAAAAATATAAATAAATAAATAAAACTTTGAGGATGAAAAATTCCAGCACGTCTCTGGCTCTGATATTTTCTAGTGTGCTTTTGTCGGTAATGTGGATAGTCCTTTGACGCATCCATGTAATAAGACAGAATCTGTCCATCAATTTATTATTATGATAGCTTATAATCAATAAAACTAGAATCATACATAATTAAAAAAAAAAACAGAGAGAGAGAGACACAAAGACAGTTAAGCGCCTAAACTTAGAATTAACCATAGTTAAATCCGACAAAAATTTAAAAAAAAATTTGCAAATATTGATTCAAACAAGTATGAATTTTAAAGTTTCAATTGAGGGTAACATATCTAGGTCATGTTTGGTTACTAGAATGGAATTGAATTGAATTAATTGAAAAAAAATTAACAAAAAAATAAACTAAATTATCCTTCCTCCTAATAGTAAGCATGATTAAACTTATTAATATATACTATAAATATAAAAATCATCACATCCTCCAAAAATTTTACACATCATGATTCCAAACCCTATAAATTAAATTACCCTCTTTTTTTATGAATGTGATTTGCTATTCCTTTTGATCATTTTATTTTTACCCTTATTTTTTTTCATTCCATTCCATTCTATTTCTTTCTAGTAACCAAATGTAACCTTAAGTTTTAAAAATAACTCTTAGATTATACCAAGAATTCCTGTTTATAATTATCTGAATCCATATTTGCAGTTTACTTTTTAGAAAATTGTCAAGATCTAATTATCATTAATTTTATATTTTGAGACCTAACTATCATTCTCCATAATCAAAATTATGACTTTCAACTACACAAGTTCCACAACTAGAATTTTGCAATTACAACCTTCTTGTATCCCAATAATAAAATTAAACTTCTCACCTTACAATTCAAATAACAATTCCATTTCTATAATATATATATAGATATATAGCGTCTTATGCTTGTAATAATCCAATAACTTTTGAAATAATATCTATTACAGAATAAAACCAACCCTTTTAATTAATATGCCAACAAACAGGCCACAGTATTGAATGGAGAAACCAACCTGTTCACTAGTTGGGCCATGACAATGGTGGTGGTCATCTGGAACAACAAGAAGACATGTAACTTTTGGTCTGCTTTGAATCAGCGGCCCCGTTATTGTTGACGAGGCTTACTCTATTGACAGATAGCTCTGATTTGTAAGTATCTGAATTGAGGACCTTCCTGCTCACATTGTTGTAAATCTCTCTAATAACCATCTCAAAAGCAGTCTTAACATTTGTTGAGTCTAATGCAGATGTTTCCATGAAAAATAGACCTTCTGCTTCTGCTAAACTTTTGCCTTCCTCAACACTCACATTTCTAATATTCTCTAAGTCACATTTGTTGCCCACAAGCATCCATGCCACTGTTGTGTCGCAGTGAGCTGCATAACAGTTTTATTTGAGTAAACCATGAGACTTCTAGACACCAACAAAAAAGGAACATTAGAAGAACTATGGAATTTTCTGAGTCTATGGGACATTTCGTGATATTTCACGCTGTTGCATCTTGGGTAGTTAATGATTAATTAATACTACTCCAATCCTTATCATAGGACCTCTTCTAAAATAATTTTTTTTTATCCTTAATATAAGGCACTTGATAGGATATTAATTACATTTTTTTAATATTAACCTTATTTAAACTTATTGACTATGAGGAAGAATGCAATACAAATTTAAAAATTTTTCATAAATAAGGGTAAAATTGAAAGTTTATTATATTTTAGACAAAGTTAATAACTTAACTACTTTTCTTTGGTTCCGATGAAGTAATCAAAAGGGCCTTATAATAGGGATCAAATGGAGTACAATTCAGCATCTTTACTATATTTTGGTTCTCTTTTATGTTGTCTTCCTTTCTATGTTCTTTTACACTGTCATTGAGGTATATGAATGATCTTCCATTGGTCAAATATCAGTTTATCAAAAATTCATTTAACAAAAGTCAGTTTAATAAAATTCAGTTATTGCAACAAATATTGGATATTCCAGTGTCAATTTCATAAGCACATGCTAGATTGCACCAAAAGAAGCAAAATACATACTGATTTTTGAAATACAAATTTATTAACTATGAGAGACAATGTAATATAAATTTGAAAATTTTTCATTTAAATAAAGGTAAAATTGAAAGTTTATTATATTTTCAGACAAAGTTAATAACTTAACTACCTTTCTTAGGTTCCAGTGAGGTAATCAAAAGGGCCTTCTAATGGTGACCAGAGGAAATACAATTCAGCATCTTTGCTATATTTTGGTTCTCTTTTATGTTGTCTTCCTTTCTATGTTCTTTTACACTGTCATTGAGGTATATGAAGGATCTTCCATTGGTCAAAAATCAGTTTGTCAAAAATTTATTTGACAAAAGTTAGTTTAATAAAATTCAGCTATTGCAACAAATATTGGATCTTCCAGTGTCAACTTCATCAGCCACATACTAGATTGCAGCAAAAGAAGCAAAATAAGTACATTTAGTGACTATTTACAAAATCTATAATTGCAGAAAGAACAAGCGCTAACGACACATGCAAACACTCAAACAAACAGGATAGGCCTTAACAGACTCTAATGGCAAACTAACGGCAGGACAAAAGAAACAAGGACAATCACAAAACATCAGATAAACTTTCTGAAGATAAGAAAACCTGTCATATATCCTTGTGTATCAGAAATTAAGCCAATTATAATTATAATTTGGCATCAATTGAGCTAACCACTCCTGAATCCTGAACTCAATTAAATAACACCTGATACTCCTCTTATTTAAGAAAATTACACCCAGTCCTCCTAAAATTTTGATACATGTTGCTTCAAATCTAGTTTGTTTTGATCAGATAACTCTGCACAAGATAAAACCGATCTTAATATGCCAAAAAAGACAATTTGGTAGTTCTATTTTTGGAAGAAATGCAAAATGTGTAGAAAGTTAACTTCAATGATGAAACATAAACTAGATCAGAGTTGCGTATAATTCTTGGAATAAGGCAGGTATTGGGTATAATTGAGCCAAACCAAAGGTAGTTCAGTGTAATTTTCTTTACTTTATTACTAAGCATTGGCAAACCAAATGGTCCTCACCTCAAAGAAGCACGGCTGCTCAGGAAAATGTTGATAATGTAAGGAAATAAAAGACATACTCAGAAAATGAAGACAAAGCCCACAATATACATCAGACGAGAAAGAGTTTTCAAGAGTATATAGTACGCTTAGCTCTTAGCAGGTTCTAGTGAAAGCCTGGCTTTCTGGTTTATTTTAGACAACCAATATGAATGATGAGTTTCTAAAACAAAGAATGCTGCTGAGAGGGATTTTAATACTAAATAAAACAAATTTGATAAATAGTGAATTTCAAACAGTGGCCTGACTTCTATCAGCAAGTTCCCCCAAACTAAAGTTGCCTCCCAGAAGGTAAAAGGCTACTCTTCTATTATCACCTCATAAAGCCCAAACTAGAATTCTGGAATCGCTTCATATCTCAAATAAAACTTTTGACCCAGAATTGTTCAGTTGTTAGAGAAAAGGAAAGCCAATGTGTGATTTATTTCTTAACCAATTTAACTTAGAGCAGCAGAGAGAAAAGCAGAGATAACAAGTCTCAACTACAAGAACTAAAAAATATGTAATAAGATCACAGAAAATATGAGGCAACAGTAAGATGGAGAGAGAAGTTGGGTCAAGACAACAGCTTACAATTGGCTCAACTCATACACAATACAAAGCCGTGCCAACACTCCGATGCCTCCTCATTCAATCAGTACACTAGCCAATTCATATGTACGTAAAGTTATAGAATTCACTTATATTCCGTAAGAAACATATCCAATTCTCTATGAATACAAAATTTTTAGAAAGTACTGTATCTAGTAAAATTAACAGAACCACGAATCACGCTAGTAAAGATGGTCAGAGACAAGGAACCCCTTCCTTTTTCTTTTTCTTTTTGTTTTTTGTTTTTGTTTTTTGCTTTTTTGCCTTTTCCTCTACTTTTCTTCGATAATTTCAAAGGTTGTTTTCTTCCGAATTAAGTCAGTCAATCAATTATGAAGTTCAGATCTACCACTTTAACTATTAGAATCACCGAATCAAACCAGCACGCCGAAGAAAATGAACAAATCAACATTTATCATAGCTTGAAATACTTACTTTTGAGCTCATCGAGCCAGCGACCAACGCTGTCGAAAGTGGTTCTCCGGCTAATATCGTAGACAATAAGAGCACCGACAGCACCTCTGTAGTAGGCGGAGGTGACAGCACGGAAGCGCTCTTGGCCGGCAGTGTCCCAAATCTGAGCCTTGACTTCCTTGCCGTCGATTTCCATGCTCTGAGTCTGAAACTCGACGCCGATGGTGGCCTTGGAATGCATGTTGAACTCGTTGCGAGCATAGCGAGACAGCAGGTTGGATTTGCCGACAGCAGAGTCCCCGATGATGACGATCTTGAAGAGGTAATCTTCACCGTCCTCCTCGTCCGACGACATAATGCTCCGCAGCAGCACGAAGAGGCTCAAGCTACAGAGATACACAGAGAGAGAACGAGAGATTTATGGAACTGCTATGGAGGGCGTGACTGCAAGTGACGAAGCACCAAGCTGGCATGGACATCGAATCATCTATGTTACCTGTAAATTCTTAACCAAAAAAAAAAAAATAAACGGTTAAAAAAACACATTATTCACAACTTATTCATTTTAAATTTTACATGAAAACACCGGACATGCATTTATTGGATGTATACAAAAACGTTTTTCTTGCCACGTATATAAAATAAATTGTTACTGATAGTTTAAAATTGAAAAATGATAAATTTTAACTTAATAATTTCAACACAAGTTTTCATTTATTTTTATACTTTGAAGTTTAAACATTTGTAAAGTAATTTCCTACTTTATAAAATTTAGAATTTAGTCTTCAGTATTATATCTTTTTTTATAAAATCAGTATTATATTTTTTGATTAAAGATCATTTTTTCTCTAAACATTTTTTTTAAAGAGCGCTAGGCATTCTGTATTAAAGGGGCAATATTTTGCTTAAATAATTTTTTTAAAAGCAAAATTACTTTTTTATTAAAGACTTATCATTTTTTTATTATTTATTGATATGTAATACAAGGCTACACATAATGACAGAAGGGCGTTCTAATTTATTTTGCCACCGTGCTCGATTCTTGCAATTGTCTCTACCACTTCCAATCTCTTTGGTTGACATTAAAGGGAAGGGCGATCTTCTTTTTAAAAAATTGTTTAAGAAGAATATTACTTTACTTTGTAATACAAAGTGTTTAGCAATCCTAAAAGGAAAGGTTGAGGGAAAAATGGTCTTTAACCATTTTTTTTATATTTATACATTGTTATTTGTATTTAAATTAACATTTTTGGTTTAAATCATACATACTTATTTATAATACAAGGAGTAGATTTTGACAACAGTTATTATCCTTCTAATAGTGTGGAAGGTAGAGGGTAGACCTTTCTTGACTAAATTGTTACATATATAAGAATTAAGATTTGAGCACCCAACTACTTATTTAAGTCACTAAAGTTTTAACACTCTTGTCAATTTTAATTAGTATAAATCATACATACTTAAAGTATGAAAATTATATACATGTAGACAAGTAAAATTTAATAAATACTTTTGTAGAATATTATAAATTGTGAGAACACAATTGCAAACTTAAAAAATATAATAATAAAATTAAAAACTGATGCAAATAAAGAGAATAAAACTACTATATGTGTATATAGCAATTTAGTTGAGAGAGATTTATCTATAACTCTTACTATCTCAAAAGATATTTTTTTAAAAAAATTACATATAGATCTCATAGAGTAGATTTATTTATAAATAAATCCTGTAAAATTCAAAAACCACAGCTAGATCCTTGAGACCTAAGTTTGATTTGAAATTAGAGTACAAAAATAATAATACCTCTACTAAAAATACGTTATATCAAACAAATAATTTACAATTACTTTATCAATAATTTTCAAATATCACTTTAATTTTTTACAAGTATAACTTTACATATTCAATAGTTAAACTAATCATGCGTTATAAGTTTAACATTAATTGGATACAACTACCTCATCATTAATTTATAACTATCACTTTAATATGTTACAAATATAATTTTACATATCTAATAATTAAACCAATCATGAGTTATTAACAAAGTTTAAGACTAATTATTTATAACTACTTCATTAATAATTTATAATTTTTATTTTAATTTTTTACAACTGTAATTTCACATATTTAATAGTTACATTAATCATGCATTACAAGTAAAGATAGTATTGTCTTTACACTGAAATTTCAAATTATGATCAAGTTTTAATGGACTTGATTGTAATTTTTAAATTTTACGAGATTTATTTATAAATAAATATATTCTATGGTACTTATATGCAGCTTGCACAATTTTTTATTGTCAGTAAAATATGTTCCTTATATTTTTACTCAAAAAAATTATTATATGGGAGTGCAGTGTAGGTGCGTGTTTGTGTGTATTCCTATGCAATGAAACTATTAAATTAGGATCTGGCATGGGGAAAATGATAGAGAAATTCCCATAAAATATATAAATAATAATAAAATCTTGTGTAATATAATAATTTTTATCAAGTCTCTTGAGACTTTTATGATATTAATGTATTTTTTCAAATGATTATAAATCCCCTAATTCAAAAATACAAAAAGAAATTGGTGATTAAAAAAAGTGCCAAGTGGAACTTGTCATTTGTTATCCCATTTTAATTATTGCTAGATAAAAAAATAGTCATTATTTAAGCAAAAATAGTTACTGATATTTACAATAGTTAGACTTAGTGATTAAAAAATTTGCAAAAGGAAAGATGTAATTACTTATTCCATTTAAGTCATTGGTAGAAGAAAAATAAAAATTATTTTAAAATAGTCATTGGTATTTACAATACTTAAATTTCAATAATTAAAAAATTTATAAAGCAAAATTTGTCATTTACTATCATATTTCAATTATTATTAAAAGAAAAGTAATCATGAAAATTTAACCTTTAATTTAAATGTATATATAAGATTTTATATTTTTGTTAGTCCCAAAATACCTTGGACCATATAATCAAGTTGGCTTCATCGAAAATAATAAAGAAACCATGGTTGAAAATCTAAACGTCTAGCTTTGGGCTAACTCTTTAAGGCTAGGACTTGGTGTTCATTTGGTTTTCATCGGCCAAAATTTAATTTATCAAAAATTTATTTAATAAAAGTTAATTATTATAAAAAAATTATATTTTGATACTTTTTTAAAAAAAATCAATTTGGTAAATTAAAAATTATTTAAGCTATGTTTACTTACTAAAATAAGATGGAATGAAATGAATTAAACAAATAAAGGCAAAAATAAAATAAACAAAGGATATAGGTGAGCACATTCATAAGAGGAAGAGGTACTTTAGTTCATGAGGTTGAGAATCATGATTTCTGAAATTTTTTTAAGGGTGTGATAATTTTCATATTTATAATATATATTAATGAGTTTTATCATACCTATCATGAGAAGAAAAGTAATTTAGTTCATTTTTATCTTTATTTTTTAATCAATTTCATTCCATCATATTCTAGCAAGCAAACGTGACCTTAGATCATATATAATGAAAAGTGTTTTTGAATGTACAATTACCAAGAAGGATTTGATTTATGATATTTTGTAATTTTTATTACATAAATGTAATATATTAAAAATGTTTAAAAAATATGATAAAAATTTTCAATGACATAAAATTTGATGTGTTAAATAATAAGAATAAAAAATATGAAGTTTGATATATTGGAAAAAAATTATGTAACATCTTAAATTTTTTTATCAAAAATAAATTTCTGTAATAACCTAATAATTTTAAATATTACTTTTAATTTATTTTAGATATTTTCTATTTAATAACATTGCTTAGATTTTATTTAAATATCTAGTTATTTAAATTTTATTTAAGTATTCAGTTATTTAGATTTTATTTTGTATTATATTATACTAATTTAGAATATAATTATCAAGTTAGAATAAATAACAAAATAAATTTATTGCATTTGTATATTCTGTTAATAAGATGCATGAGTAGCTTAATTAGTGCAATTTCTCTTGGCTCTTGGCTTACGAAGTCACGTTTTTGTTTCCCTCATCCACACAAAATTACCATTCTGCCCGTTATTGCAAATAAATATTAAAAATATAAGAGAGAGGAAGATATCAGAACGTGCGGGCCTTCTCCTCCATTTCCTAATTTTTCGAGAACCTTAGAGAGAGGGAAAGAGTGAGAGAGAGAATCGAATTCCTTCATCCGTCTTCCCTCTCAGTTTGTTAGCCGATGACTATGGGTGTGCCTCTCGTCGCAATCGCTGGCCGAAATTGAAGGTGCACCACATTTTCTCCCTTTTTTTCTTCTTCCATCCCTTGTTTAGTCATCCTCCTTCTCTATTCTTTCTCTGTCTACGCGTCGTTACTGGTGCGTTGGGAGCCAAGTCTCCAAAACTAGAAGCTTCTCTTGCAAGACCTTCTTCTTGGTTCGATGCCATGGAATCTTTTTCTTCCTTCCTGGGGTAACAGTGTTGAAGTTCTTCCCTTGTCCAATGCGGCAAGATATTCTTCTCTCTTTCTTTGTCTTGTTCCTGCCATTGATGATTTGAGATAAATGAGGTTAAAAAAAAAATAAGTTTTAGAGCATGAGTTGCCATAGATAATTTCACTACAGCAAGATGAAATTAGATTTAAATTTCTTTGAGTTTAAATGTGAAGTTTGATGAACTCAAATTGGCATTAGAAACTATTGAAATGAGAATGGATTGAATTTTAATCGAGCTTAAATAAATCCTTAAATGGAAATTTGATTGTGAAAGCATATTTGGGGACTCGTTAGTTTAGCAATGGGAGGTTAAAAGTTTAAATTGAAAGAATTAAAAACCAATGCACACTATGTGTTTGTTAATAGGTCTGATAGAGAATTAAATCTCAATTAAATAATTAGTTATGGTTAAAGGATTATAAAGAAACTGTGGTAGAAATTATGATGTATGAAAAATTTTGAATTATTTAAATTGACTATGGTGGTGTTAATTTTGGAAGAGAAACTATTAAATTGGTGGAAAGTCTTTTAAAACCTTATTATATTTTTTAGGGTATTTAGAAGAAGAGAAATTTGGAAGAATTATATCTTTGAATTTAGGAACTATCAGGTAAGTGAATAGCGTCTTAACTGATATTTCAATAAAATTTTTTTATTAAAATATTACATTTTTATGCAAATTTTTTTTACGACAACAATGTGATTATGAGATATTTTGTTGATTAAATTACTTTTTTTCATGAAATTATTTTACTAGAATTAATTATTTTAGTTAATCAATAGACACAAGTTTGAATTCTAATTGTGGGATTTCATTATGAAAATTATTGAATTGCTAGGAAAAAAAATGATTCATGTGAGTTTGACATTGCAAATAAAAATTTTATTTTGAAAGTGATGATTTTCTCACATGTTTGAAAATAAATTTAAAGAGAATTTTATATAAAACACTGGTTGTTAACGGTAGTTCCATTAGCCCTTAGCAAGCCATGATTAATG